CAGCCAAATACCGAAGACCCGGAACAAAGTCCATCCGCTACTAGGTTCCTTTCCTGTTTTGCCCGCCTTCGTTTCCCGGCAACGGACAACAACTTCCGGGGTCAAATGCGCTGCTCCGTCTCTATAGCAGATGTAGAAAATCACCGGGAGCGTTTCTCCCTTCATAAAGGAGCTTCTTTCAGACATTAGGAGAGCTGTTTTGGTGGTAGCAGTCTCTCCTCCGAGCTGGTCTGTTTACTGCTGGGTGTTTTTGGTTTATTTAAACTTGGCAACTTAACGTTGGTAAAGCTACTGTTAGCATTTTCGCTAACAGCTTCTTGCGTTTGGATAAGCTGTTACGTTTTGGTTTAGAGTTCATCTTTTTTCAATCCAATCCAATCCAATTTTATTTATAAAGCGCATTCACAAGGCATTACAACCAAACAAGGCGCTGTACACTAGAAATGCTGGTTAATTAAACAAGCGATATTTAAACATGTTGAACACATATAAAAAATAATAATTTGTGGTACAAATTAATAAATGTCTAAATGTAATAAAATCTCCCTTTTGTTACATTTAGAGTGTTTTGGGTTTTCGGTTTAGTTTAAAATATCACCTTGAGGTTGGTTTAACCGCCCAGTTTAGAGTTTGGAACTTTGGAGATTCTTATTTTGGTCCAAAACCCTGTAATCTTTGCACAGTGGGACATCCCTAGTTATCTGTACTTTTGTTTTAATTCCCCACAGGCAGAATTAGTTTTATTACTCCCAACCTGTGGATGGAAAGATTTGGTTTTTTGTAGTTGTAAATAAACCCGATCATCATTTTAACTTTTAAATCCCACATTATTGTCCCTTCCTTTTTGCACACGAGCCAAACTCCCCAGGAAGAGTCGTAACACCACTCGCCTCACGCACATAAGTGACCAAGACGAAGCAGCATGGAGACACTCCGTCTCCAACCACCTCTCAGGCAGCAGCCTGCACTCCCAAGTTCTACACGTCACCAGAACATAACCAACCAACACAATAAAAGCAGTGTTATACAAAATGGGAGGCCTGTAGTGTTTATTTTCTTACAGTAACAATTAATCAATTTTTTGGAGGAATTTATTAGAGATTTTTTGGTTTTTATTAACTGTGCAATAGAAAAATAATCATTAGATTAATTGTATAAATAGTCATTAGAATAGTCGACTATTCGATAAAATAATCGTCAGAATAATCGTTTTAAAAATAATCGTTTACCCCCAGCCCTAGTAATCAGATTATATTGAGTGAAGGATGGATTTACTGTAAAGTGCCTTAAAAGTGCTTCATAATTCTAATCCATTACTATTAGTAATTCTTTATGAAAGGTCTTAATTAGGTAAATCTAAACATTTCTGCATGTAAACACAAACCTCCGATGCAGCTTCAGGGAGAACCTCCATCAGCACAGTAGCAACAGAGCATGAGACTCTAGTAGTCCTGCATGTTTTTCTTCTGTTCCTGCTCCAGCAAACCTGATTTAAGTGGTTCTGCGAGAGCCTAATTGATGTCTCGTTGATTAAAGTCAGGTGAGCTGAAGCAGGAGGACCAGAGTTTGACGCGTTTGGGCTGAAGGTGAGAAAAAGTCTTTCCTTAGTCGAACTCCAAAGCTGTAAAGGACCCCGCCCCTCCTAAAAGGAAAAATATTGCAAACTGCATTTGTTCTACTGTAAAACGTGTTTGAATGCTGACTCCTTTCAGCTGTTATTTTATTACACAGAAAAACACAATTGTCTCCTGGGATGATATTAATTGAATTTCATTATCCGGCAGCCCTTAGAGGTGCTCACTCATCTGCATAAGCAAAAGTAGACCCGAGTGTGGATGTTTTCATTTAGCTCCTGATGAAAAATCCAGAGTCCCACGGTGCCGACATGCTCTATAAAGGAGTCCTTTCCCTCATCAGCTCTGTTACAACCATGACGCTGTGATTGAAGTAGTCATGTGACCTAGATGTGTTGCTGTGAATGTCCCCCAGCAGTTTGTGAGAACAGGCTGTAGATGTGTGCTGCAGCAGTATATGCTGCTCAGTCGCTGGGCGGTGGAGACATTTCATTTCCCACAAACTCCTGAACTTTCCATCATATTTTGCTGTGTAAGCAGTTTTTTTTTCAAAGTTTTCGCTGAAGTACCTAAAACAAGGATTAGTCTGTCACTGGGCTTGTCATTGTGTCTACCCCAAAGGTCATTCGCGTTCACTGGGGAGGCATATCAGGGCTGAAACATTTCCTAAACCGTGTGTGTGTGTGTGTGTGTGTGTGTGTGTGTGTGTGTGTGTGTGTGTGTGCGTGTGTGTGTGTGTGTGTGTGTGTGTGTGTGTTCCATTCGCTAGGATGATATTAAAGTGATAAATGCTGCTTTAGTCATAGATGAGACAAAGTTTCTAGTGTGTGGGTCAAATGCGTCCATCCTCAGCAGGATGAATGAGTTGGTGTTAAACCTCCTTCAGACATCGTTCAGTTTAAGAAAAGTATGTTTTGTTTTAAAAATTTCCAATGTTTGAAAATGGATTTGAGGTGTCTGCCAAAGTGGTTCCACCTGTCGGCAGTGTACAGGAAAGAGCCAGATGTATTTTGGAGAAATTTTGAGCCTCAAACAGAGTCAGAAATGGAAAGATGTGCTACTTTGAGTTGATCGCTTTAGGAGTAGACTGGTTAATCAACCGGCTGATTCTATTGGCTGATATTTGCCACGATTTAAATAACTAGTTGTCGGCCATGCTTGTGCACTCTAACTGAAAAAGCAGCTGCTGCTGTAGCCACAGCTACTGCTACTGCTTTTTAGTCTGAATGTTTTTTTTTTTGTCCTCAGTCTTATTAAATACATCCTCTTTAAAGTCACTGCATGTATTTTCCCTGGCGATAGGGGGCAGTACATACCTAAATCATTGCGAGTAAGCAGTATTTTTGTGGTTGCGTAAGACCTTACCAATGGATGGCCATTAGGGTCAAAAATCCCTGGGAGTGCAACTTCCAGCAAAATGACACAACCCATCAGACTCCCTTTCATCACTGACAACGAGTGAAGAGGTAAATCTGTAAAACAACAAAGTTTATTCATGGAGAAAGTTTGGTAACAGTTTGTTACAAATCAGTAACTGCAATTTGTCCTCATGGGCTCCTGTAGAAGGAAACATGGCATCTAATATGGCGTCGCCCACACACTTAGACCCGCTCCCATGTATTTTAGACCAGATTTTTATGGATTTATTTAATGAAACCACCAATATTTTCAACACCTGTACATCATTTATTTCATTTTCAATGACATTTTGATGGATTTTTCCAGAGATTAATGGTAAAAACTACACATTGTCACTTGAGGTTAAGCAACAATGCTAAAGTTTTGTTGAATGAAAAATACATATTGGCCAAAAATAAAGTGTCTTCTATTGGCTCCCTGGTTTCCGAAGAAGAAAAATAAGCTTCAAACTCTACCGTTAAGTTTGCATTAGACCTATTAAATTAAAATAGTTTCTGCTTTACAACATGTCAGATTTTTTAAAATTCACATTGTGCAGCATTTCAGTCAAAAGATTTAATTTATTCATGACCAGGGGTCTCATTTATCAAACATTGTGAAGAATCCTTACTAAAACCGTACTTAAGCTCAGCAAAAAAATATGTACTTACACTAAGCAGGTTTGTGATCTATCAAACATGGAGTACACACAGCTGCACGCAATCTCTGCTTTATAAATCAGAGACTAACGAGACAGGTTCTCAGCCGCTTTTTAGTCACATCCCGCCCTCAACACGCTTTTTACTTGTTCTGTGTGCGTACGAAGCGGTACAAGTGATAATGCTGCAGGATTTCATAATTGTATCCTCCTCAGCAGCAGCACTGCAGGTGCTCTCCATTTCCAAAATGTGTGTAAGCCAGGTCCTTAGTCAACTTAAAGTTGCGCACATTTTCCCGCTAAGTTTTCTTTCATAAATCCCAAAGTTTGTGTGGAAAGTTGCTTACGCAGTTTTCCGACCCCGTTTTGTGTGTAAGCAAGCTTGATAAATGAGGCCCCTGGAGTTCTGCTTTCTGCTAAAGTAATTTATAAATAAAGTGTACACGTTTCTCTGTCAGCCTGGGTGTTAATTGTCAGAAGTCTTGAAATCAGAGCTTGTTTACGTTTTTCTCTTGACCCTTCCCCTACAGCTTAACAACACAGGTCACAGCGTGAGCTCCTAATCACTGTGTGCTTTCTACTTTTTTGTGTGACGAGAGCTTAAACTTTACCGTTTTATGGACGTTTTTTTTATTTTTTCAGTTTTTCTGGTGTTGGCTCAGGCTTTTTAATTTGTTTTTACATTTACTGTCTTATCCTCTCACCCTTGTTCCTATTGAATCGCACGGGGTTTGGTAGCCGTCTTTATTTTAGTGCAAACTGATCCTGATTTATTAGACATGAATCTGAGCTCCTGTTTAGTTGGAAGAGCAGAAGCCGACAGCTGTCTGTGGAAAATGTCTGGGCCTGTTTTCTGCCCAGAGGCTTGATGTGTGTGTGTGCGTGTGTGCGCGTGCGTGTGTGTGTGCTGCATGCTGTTCGGCTGTGTATTTTAAGGGTCATCCCAGAAAGATTTCACCCTGAGCAAGTACAAATGGAGAGTGTACTGACAGGCACCCCTGGGTGTGTGTGTGTGTGAGGAAGAGCTTCCTTGTGGCAGATGAGGTCTTTCTTGTCCGCTTTGGCTGTTAGAATAAACAGCAGAGCAGCTGGACTTTTCCTTGATGGTAACCAGGACAAAGTGACTCAGAGTGCAGCGCTGCAGCAGGTGGTTTGTGTTCATGAATATGTTTCTATGTGTCCGACTCTGAGTTCAGACCGAAGATAGCTGCCCGGATTTGAACCAAAGGAGCAGAGCAGAAGGTTTAGCCAGAGTGAAAAGGAGCTGAGCTGTGAGGAAGACGAGGGTCCAGATGTGAGGCGGCCTGTTTACATTTCTCAGCTAACAGGAGCATATTTTTAACCTCTGCCTGTTTTTGTTCTCTCTGCAGGTGCTGGAGAGTCGGGGAAGAGCACCATTGTGAAGCAGATGAAGTGAGTGACTGCTCATTGTTTTGCTTTTCCTTCCGTCGTCGGTGCCAACTTAATGTGTTTATAATGTACATTTGCATGCATAATCTCTCCTGATTATCCTTGATTATTTACTCAGATTTGCACAGGGCTAATCTGTTTTCAGTTAGACAACAAAACATGTTTTTGTTGGATTGTACTGAATATTTGTATATTGATTTAATAGGATCAGGTGTAACAGGAGAAAACTTAATTCAATTGAAATGATGTGACAATTATCCAATAAACATGTATGGGTTGTTTTTATGGTTTCCTGATGGGAGCTGTGCAGCTCTAGCAGTAAATCTTTCTGGTATCTGTTAATCATGCCTGATTCTTAGCAAGGTCAAAGTTCAGCCCAGTCCTCCACACAGATCAGCTCTAATTCTGGGATGTTTGTTGGCTTTGTCTCTTTGTCTGCTCCCATCTGGAGCTTTCACAACATTCCCATTGGGTTCAGATCTTGTTTAGAGCTAGGTTTAAAGGTCTTAATCATTATTTCCTAAAATGGTTTCTTTTGTGATTCTTGCCTGAATAAAGTGAAATAACTGAAAACAGCTGACCCCTGCATGGGTTCTCATATGGCTGACATTCAGAGATGTGTAATAATTATAGTAGAAGGGTTGGGTCACATCTACTGTATGTGCTCTATATTCATATCTGACCAACTTTATTTTCTGACTAAATCAGGAAATCTTTGATGACATTTAACTTTCTTTGTACAACAAACAATTTTTCTTCAGTTTATGTTTTTATTAAAATGTTGGACAAATTAGTGCATTTAATCTGGTTTGGAAACGTCTAAAAAATCCTTAACAAACATTAAATTTTTACATTTAAAAAGCCCAAAATGTATCATTATTACATCAAAAACAAAGACTTATTTTCTTTATAATCCCAAAAACAGAGGAAATTTTCACCTTTTTTTTGCAGTGTTATAAATGATTTAAATAGGAATCGGTTCACATAAACCATTGAATGAATTATTTACAGAACAGTTAGAGATTTTAAGTGCAGATAAGTCAAAGAGGACCTTGAATATTTCAGCAGATTTATTACGTAAGTATGCTGGTGTTCATTATGAACCCCTTTTCTCTGAATTATAAATCATAACTAAAGTAGATCTGCTTGTAGGCTTCATTAAACCCAGAGGACCAGTAATAAAGTTATACTCACATCGTTTCATCTGTAAGCGTACACTCAGCTGTGTGTTTGTTTAAAAAGGGAAACCTGCTCTCATCGGTTGTTTAAACCTTTGAAGAAAGTCCTGCTACCTCTGATTCCTCTGGGCCGAGTGGCCGTCCTTCTGATTGCTTCATAGATCATTTTATTGTTTGGGTGAAGGGGAAAACATCTCAGTCTTTCAGCCGTTTTGAGTGAGCCTCACAGTGTCTCACAGCAAGCTCACTTGAATTTTAATTAGATCCTTTTCAACAAATCACACAACTACCGAACATCTTGGCTGTGGCGCGCCAGGTTCTGTCTGGGTTCCAGCCTAGCGGCTTAGTTCTCAGCCTCATGCTTTTTCTCTCTGTCTTTCCAACTGCATACCCTTTTTGTTGGAGCTTCTTTGTCCACATCGCCAGAAGCAAATGAATATTTGGTTCAGTGTCCTGTAGTGAAAGGTTAACAAAAACAAACTTTCTAGGAACATAATTGTTGGGCGCGGTATTTCTGTCTGTTTTTTGCACCGATGCATCCATGTGAGGATTTTTTGTGGTTTCTTTTGTCTCCAGGATCATTCACGAGCATGGTTACTCGGAGGATGAGTGTAAGCAGTACAGAGCGGTTGTCTACAGCAACACCATCCAGTCCATTATGGCCATCATCAAAGCAATGGCCAACCTCAAGATCAACTACGAGGACACCGCTAGAGCTGTAGGTCCTCACAATCCTCAAGTGTGCACCCAATGTCAGTCTCAGTGATGAGAGCAATGATAGGATAGTAAACAGGATTAGGTGAGGAAGAATCTCAAATATTCATGTCCAGACTCTTTGTTGGCAGATCTATTTAGATCAAAAACTTCCCCCTGAAGGAAGTTTTATTAGAGAATCAGATCTGTGCTGCATCTAAAGCAGCACACCTGCAGGGCTGCTTATTTTCTGTCCTTGCATGTGTTTTTCTGCTGGAGGAGACCTTGAACAACCTTTTTACAAGGTAATTACATTGCAGGAAGTTAAAGTTAAAGTCCCATTAGTTGTCACACACACACAGGTGTGTGTGCAAAATTTGTTCTCCGCATTTGACCCATCCCCTGGGGGAGCGGTGAGCTGCAGACACAGCCGCGCTCGGGAACCATTTGGTGGTTTAACCCCCCAATCCAACCCCGTAATGCTGAGTGCCAAGCAGGGAGGCATTGGGTCCCATTTTTTTCTAAGTCTTTGGTCTGACCCGACCAGGAATTGAACCCTGATCTCCCAGTCTCAGGGCGGACCCTCTACCACTAGGCCTCTGAGCTGGTAAATAAAGTTCATATGTCATTCAGGAGAATAAAACAATAGTCTTCTACATTTTGTTTTTATAGTTGATGTATTTTATTTTCTTACAGTTTAGTTTTAGTTTTTGGTTGCCTTCAAGCAATCTGTGAAAGTTCTGCATCAAATTCAGTTTATAAACATGTTTACAGACAAACGGACAGCTGTGATGCTGCTTTTGTCACAGCGTGAAAAGCACAGCTCGATGTGTTTCTGCTCCTCTTCTGTGTGCTCTGAAGCTCAGATTTATGTTTCCAAGTGTTTGTAGGCAGACAGACGCTGCTAACTCTGCTTTAACGTGGAAAAGAAACCTTTTGGTTTCTTTAGTTGAGAGTGGCCTGGAGAGAAAAACGAATTCAACAAATCAAACAAAAAACAAACTTTTTTTCTTTCCTGTGATGAACAGCTGGTATTAAACAGCCTCAGTTCAGAGAAATGGATGTATTAGCTAATGGCTCGGCATAGCAGGGCTGTATGATTATTCTGGGAGAATCATGTTTTTTACGAGACGTGACCCAGGCTGGACTGGAAATGCTTCAACTGTCTAGCCTAGATAGCCGGTGTCGGTACAGGATCTGCTTGGGTGCAGGATCGGCTCAGGGTACTTCGACTGCCGATGACATCAAAGTAGTTGATTGGCTGAACATGAAGCTTACGGAAGTGACGTTTCCCGTTATGACTTTGATTGGTCAGTACAAATTTGCGGTCGTAGTCTTAGTGGTTGTAGTCCTGTAGTCCAAAAATCAACACTTACTGGAGAAAATATTTGAATTTCTAAAGGAAATGTAAAATATAAGCAAATGATAAACGGTGACCCTCAAAAGCTCTTGATGTTGATGAAACGGGGCAAAAATAAAATATAAGAACTTTATTGAAAGACACCAAGTAATATCTTGAGTCAAAGACTGTATTTAGATAACAACTAAGGAAATATACAGACGAACTCCACATTAATACAAACAGATGTGGCTTCACATATAAGAACTGTTCTCTTGTTTGTCAGTCCGATGTTGGTTTGATGCAGTTTCACATTCTTTACAAAACAAAGATAATATGGTGTTTTATTAACAAATTACAATTATAAAGAAAACATTTAGGTGTTAACAAACAAGAATTGATTAACAAAACTGCTGATGTTTTTCCAAAACATATGTGTGAAAGCCGAGTAGAGTTGCAGTAATGTACCGACATCGGCAGTCGAAGGACCCCGAGCCGATCCTGTACCGACACCGGAACAGAAGCAAAAAAACTGTTCTCAGCAGATCGGTCTAGCCACGCTCTGTTACAGCCTCAGCAGGTCTACCACTGGCCTGATCAGGTTTAGGTTTGTCCAGTCAAAGTGCTCTGTGTTTGTAGTAGGGGTAGACCGATAAATCGGACTGATATTTACCGTTTTTTATACAACAGCATCGGTTGATATTTGTCCTTAGTAAAGCCGGTTTAAAGTCAGCGCATCCTTGGGCAGCCGGATGCTCTTGCAGAATTCAATGTTTACGTATTTTTACGTTCACCAATAACATCTGCACAATAATACTCCTAAATTAACTTTATTTAGATGTCTGACTTTAAAGCGCAAGTCACCCCCAAATTAACTTTTCTTTGCTGATGATCTATATAAATGAGTGTCTAATGCTGTAGACACTCGTAGTCAATAATTTGGCACTTTAGTGCATCTTTGTTCAAATTTAAATGTTCTGCCTAAAACTGTCACCGGTATCAGCAATAGAAAAAACAATCATGATAGAGATGTTGGGCGAACCTAGCACCAGATCTGTGTCAGAGCACAACTACAAAGATGGCCTCGGCTCAGGAAAGACGCTCATCTGAAACAGCTTTGGCATCAACTCTTGACGATTTAGACTTCAGACATGAGCAGCTAAGTCCTTTATTTAAAAGATAATGTATTTGCTTCTTCTCCTTCACTGGTGTATGATGGACTGCCCCGCTGACGGATTTCTATAGCGATGAATGCGTCATGTTCGTTGTTTCTGATTGGTCCCTGCGCTGTCCATTTGGGTGCCATAGATTCTGCCCCACCATGGAGCTGTGTGTGTGGGTCATGGCCAGACGTATTTACATATGTAGGATGGCATACCAGGCCACCAACTAGCTGCTGCCACCGTGTCCTCGTGTAAATGATCCCACGAGTCTTCATAACTAAAGTGAAACTGATAATGATGTAAACGTTTGTAAAACAAATGTCATGTTTGAGATTAGATCTGTAAGAAGCAGCTCTCTGTCCCGGACTCACCATTAGCTCTTGTTTCTTCAAGCTGAGGTTGTTCAACAAGCTATCCACAGTCAGAAAATGAATCACTGTGACTGAGTGATGGATTATTTATAAAGAGCTTTGGGTGCCTCGAAAAGCACTGTATGATTATTGTTGTTGTTACTCGTGAAAGAAATGCTTAAAACATCTAAACTGTGACTATTTCCTGGAGTGTTTAGTTTACATTTAAGTTTGGAGCAGAATCAGTTAGAAGTCCATCTAGTCCATCTGTCAGACCTCCTACCTTTTGATAAAGCTGCAGCTAGGGCTGCAACAACGAATCGATAAATTCGATGAAAATCGATTACTAAAAGCGTTGGCAACGAATTGCGTCATCGATTCGTTGTGTCGCACAACTCTTCCAAAAGCGCCCCCCCCCCCCCCCCCCCTTCCCGCCCGCCGTTGCGCGCAGAACAGAGCAAGTCAGATCAGCGCGAGGGAGAGCCGCAGATCAGCGTGAGGGAGAGCCGCAGATCAGCGCGAGGGAGAGCCGCAGATCAGCGCGAGGGAGAGCCGGTACCGGCAGATCAGCGCGAGGGAGAGCCGCAGATCAGCGCAAGGGAGAGCCGCAGATCAGCGCGAGGGAGAGCCGGTACCGGCAGATCAGCGCGAGGGAGAGCCGCAGATCAGCGTGAGGGAGAGCCGGTACCAGCAGATCAGCGCAAGGGAGAGCCGGCAGACTTGCGCTGCTGCGAACCGGTTCCGCATTGTTGCACAGCGATCCAGGCAGCTGCTTCCAGCGCACGGTCCATTCTCAAAGTGGCGCAACCAAAAAACTATAATTAGCACACGATCGTTCATGTCCGCACATGTTCTCTATTTTCTGTCTTATTTGTGCCTGAAGCTCGCTACTGCGGAGCTCATCACCTGTGCTGTGGTGATGTCACCTCACTGACGCAGCATCGAAAACGCGCTCTGCGCTTTTCGGTCAGGAGATCCCTTTGATCTGCTCAAAAGTAACTGATGAGGTGAAAAGGTAAGAATCCAGGCAACAGATTTTCTGGAGAATTAAGAGGAGATGCAGGAAGATGAGAGACAGACAGGACAGGAAAATAGTTAAATAAAAACAAGAAAACAAAACAAAGTGTTGAAAAGTAAAATGTAGGTAGATTTATCTCCACTACACGTTTTTACCAGTAAAAAACAATAAGTTCTACACATGTCATATTTATACATCTGATACAATTCAGATCACCTTCAAAACTCAGTCACACACCCAGGGCCGTTTCAAGACATTTTGGGGGCCAAGGCAAAATGCCCCCCCCCCCCCCCCCAAATAACTGGGCTCCCCAGAAGCCTCTGTGTAATTCATACCCTCTCCAGTAGTGTTAATTATATGGTGTTTATAAAAGCCCCTCAGACATTACTGACATGTTCTAATATTATCAGATGAAAAACTAAATTATCAGACACGCTGTCTCATCTGCTGCTTTTCTAAACTTGCAAAAAGTAACAAAACCATTTGAAAGCCACTATTTGTGGATTCTCTGAAAGTTTCCATGGAGTGTGGGACAACTTATTTTTTCATTGATCCTATCGTCTAATCTCACAGCTGAAACAAGCATCCTTAATAATCTGTGCACAGGAAGCTTACCAATGCTGTAGTAATACAAAAGGTATAATAATTTATTATTAATAAAACCTTGTTGCAGCACTAAAGCAGAAAAATTAGATTTTGCATTAAATATGCAAAATATTTACATATGAATTGTTTTAGAGCCCTTTAATTGGCAGAATCTGATATTAATTTAGTTCTTACAAAAAATGGGTCCCAACATGGTTTGTGTGGCGTTGACATAGTGTGACGTCATAGGCACAGATCCCCTGTCCTCTTGTTTGGAAATGGAAATATGGTCACCCTACATTAAACAAACTGTCCACCCGGGCTTTTGCACTGCACAGAGACGCTTCGCTGCCTACGACTGAACGTCAGTTGAGAGTCAGTCTCATGCAGACTGACCAATGAAGAGAAGGCCTCAAGTTAAGACCCTCTCCTCATTGGTCAGTCCACACGAGGTGGGTCAAAGGTTACTCTGGGCGGGTTACGTGTTGTCAGGCATTCAAGTATTGAGTATATTTACTGCATATTACAGTAAAATATTCTGTATGTGACCACATTATGGTGATCCTTGGGTTGTGATGATGGAGCCCTTGAATATTGTTGCCCAGGGTACAACAAAGTGTTAATCTGGCCCTGGTTCCGCCGTCACATTCCAGCAGAAACTGGTTGATCACACCGGGGCCAGACTACTAGCATGTGGTTTTACAACCACAATGTCCTCAGAAGCAAAAACGCTTTTAAAAGGGAGGGAGGAGTCCTAACTGTTGCTGCAGGCGTGTTGTGTGAGAGTGCAGTTATATACTGGTTAATATATTTTTGGGTTCAGTTGCTTTCATGTGGCCTAATGTGAGTCTATTTGGGATCATTGGAATGATCAGCAGCATTTCTTGATGTGACTTTATGGCAGTTGCCCAGGGCATCATCGCAAGGAGGATGGCATTCATTTACTTTTGTTTTATTTGGTATTTTTTCAGTCATTTTTGGAAATAGTGATCAATTTTGATTAATTCACAGCCTATGTTTAATTACATTTAAAATAAATGTCAACAGATGAGATCAAACAAAACAGATGAGAATTGCCCTTAAGCTGTTTAACTTGGACCAAGCATTTTAGGTCACAGATAGATGTAGCTTAGGGTCTCTGTCTATACACCTTATAAGACAATTTAGGTGATGGCATGTTGTTTTTCTGCTATTGAACTGTTTTCTAATAATGTTGTGTTAAATAAAGTGAAGGAAGGAGAGAAATAACGTTTCCCTAGCAGTTTTTAAAAATTTCCCCATGTAATCCGATTAATCGATTAATCGTGTCGAGACCCCATCCGATTAATCGATTATCCAAATAATCGTTTGTTGCAGCCCTAGCTGCAGCAGAGCTGTGTTTAGATCTAGATGCAGTAGTTTAGTGGAGGTGAGTGTGTGTTTTCTGTTACTCCTGCTTGTTCCTCTACCAGCCACAGAGAAAAGTGTGTGTTCTCCCTGGATTTAATTATTTGTAAGAACATTAAAGGGCCCCATGTGGTACGCTGCTGTGCTAACCTGCTGAGATGGGTGCGAGGGTCAGGTAATGGTTAACCGGTACATGGAATTCCACGGCCAACATCAAAAGATTATGAACGTCATCATCCAGAGATAAACGCAGAGTTCTGCCCTTGTCCTGCTGGTCACTTAGCAGATGTGTTCAGGAGAGTCACAGTTTTCACAAATTATGGGAACAAAATCAATTGTACTTAAAAATAACCACCTTTAAGCTTTAGTGTGTCAGATTTAGCTACAGATCTGTAAACATGATCAGAAACAACATGTTTTATTTACAGTAGGTTCATTTCAGGCCACATGGTTGAGCCGTCTGTAATCGAGTTACACACTAATGGAGGCATCATTTATCCTCCATGTTTTCTCTTCTCCAGTTCTTTGCTGTTCTCATGAGGCGAATTGACATTTATGGAGAGTAAAAGTGCAAATAGCTTCAGGAACTTCACATAACCTGGAAAGACGTTACACTTCTCTCTCCTGCAGAGGCGTAGGGGTTAGAGGGATGGCAGTTGTGATATTTTACAGCCAGGTAGCAGGAAAAAGATGCAGCGTTCAGTTAAAGTAAAGTTGTCTGTCTTTTTGCTACAATCACACTCTTCTAATGTTACACAAAGCATTCTGGGACCTCATTACAGAACAGAAATCTATGAGAGACAATCAACCTCGCTGGCAACAACAATGTACTTCATCTAATGATGTCACTGCTTTAGAAATCAAATCGGACTTCAGGGATCTGCTGTATCTGATGACACAATGGCATGGCTGTGTGTGTGTTGTCTCTTCAGGATGATGCCCACCAGCTGTTCTCACTGTCTTCAGCTGCAGAGGAGCAGGGCACCCTGCCAGATGAGCTGGCTAAAGTCATCCAGCGACTGTGGGACGACGGTGGCGTCCAGAGCTGCTTCACACGGGCCCGGGAGTACCAGCTCAACGACTCGGCAGCCTAGTGAGTTCCTCAGTAAAAGAAACGGCAGCAGGAGTCCTGGATGGGTTTGGTTATCTCAACATCAACCACAGGATGTTCACCTACAACTGGTTATCATTACTAGTTAACCCCATCCAACATGGCTGCCACAGCTAAATGAGCTCATCAAACATAAACGTTTTCCTTTCATTCTGTTGGCTGTAAAAACTCCAGAGCTGTTGTTCACTGCTTAAATTAGTAATGGAGGTTAAAAGAGCACCATGAAGTTTGTCGTGTGTGAAGCTGACGCTCACCCACCTGTCAGGGAGGACGTGACTCTGAATGTTTCCGTCCGACACTTTTTAAAGAGCAAGTCACCCCCAAATAAACTTTTTTTTGCTGATAAACTAAATAAACGAGTGTCTGATCGTGCTGCAGACACGTGTAGTCAATAATTTGGCACTTCAGTGCATCTTAGTTAAAATTTAAATATTCTGCCTAAAACTGGCAGTGTTGTGCCGTTGTCAGGTAAAAACTCTGCACTGTATTTTAATTTAAATCTGCCACCGCTACTGGCTAAGAGGTACGCTATGATGTTAGCTGGTGCCATATGATGTCACAATGTCGTGTGTGTGTGTGTGTGTGTGTGTGTGTGTATTTGTTAGCGGCTCTGCCCTCTCGGTCTGCTAGGCAACAGCATTTGTTGCATTTTTCAAACATGTAGTGAGAGTGGAGTTTCTCTGATAGGGGGTGACTTGCTCTTTAAGTTAAAGAGCAAGTCACCCCCTATCAGATTCTTACTGAACTCCCACTTCCTGTTTGAAAAATGCAACAAATGCTGTTGCCTAGCAGACCGAGAGGGCAGAGCCGCTAACAAATACACACACACAACATTGTGACATCATATGGTACCAGCTAACATCATAGCGTACCTCTTAGCCAGTAGCGGTGGCAGATTTAAATTCAAATGCAGTGCAGAGTTTTTACCTGACAACGGCACAACACTGCCAGTTTTAGGCAGAATATTTCAGTTTCAACTAAGATGAACTAAAGTGCCGAATTATTGACTACACATGTCTGCAGCACGATCAGACACTTGTTTAGTTCATCAGCAAAAAATGTTGATTTGGAGTGACTTGCCCTTTAAGTTAATCCACGATGAGCTCCTTTTCTTTTTTATTAGAGAATCACGGCTGCCTCTTTTCTCGCTTCAGGTAAAAACCTGCTCTATTCTGTTAGAAAAGCAAAGCTTTTGTTTATTCGGCTTTCTAATCAGAGCAGTTAGTCCGAGCTCTCTGTTAGTCCTAATTACCTGGCTGGCTCTGGCCTGTGCAGCGCTCCGTGTTCCTGGCCCGTCTTGTTATCTGTCGATGAGAGCGTGGGGTGAGAAGTGAGATGGTTATCTGTCTAATCCCCTGGGATAAACCTGTGTAGAAAACACAAACGCTCGTCTTCATCACCAGCTTCCTACAAGCCGCAGCATGAATGAGCCAAACACGTTTGTCTTTTGGATGCGTCTGACTCCTGTCGGAGTATCGAGCGTTTCAGGTACCAGTTATCTGCAGGGCTGAACTCCCAGGGAGATTATTATTGTTGTTGTTTGTTTGTTTTGGCTCCTGCAATCATAGCATCATTGTCTCTGCTTCAGGGCTGAGGAGGACCTGGAACCATTCTGCAAACACATGCTCACATTTAACTCCAGTGTTTCCTCCAGGCTTTATAGAGCCCTGGGAGGCTGGGTTGATGTAAGGGAGCACTAAACCAGCCTGGCACTGGGCCTGAATTCATGTCTGAGCACCTGATAAGAGCCAGAGAGGAGTGAGGGGAGAAGCCCGTCTCTGTGACACAGACCTGTTCTCTCAGGCTTGTTTCAGTGAGAAGATAAAGGAAGAGTGGGAGGAGGGTGTGTGCAGGGAAACGAACGAGGCGTGGAGTTATTATTTGTAGAACAAACCTAACCTTTCCACACATCTGTGTCTGTGGAGAAGAAGGTCAACAGCACTCCGGTTCTGGCCTTTAGAACTCTCAACAGAACATTATTCAGCGTTTCCATTAAAGTTAGTGTTATGAGTCTGAGCAGTTCGTTGTTGTTTCATCACGGCTGGAAACAGACGAGGGTTTCCTCCTGGACTTTGTCTGTAAGGGAATTAAAGGGAGAAACATTAAAGTCACTCTGCCAATCTTTACTTTGATAACTCTACCCCACCATCTCCCCCCCAAAAAAACCCAACTTATTTTTAACTTTGTGTTTTTGTTACTGCTGACACGTTTAATTTAAAAGGGAAAACGCGACAGGTACCAGATTTCGGATGAAGCCACTGGAGACAAAATAATTAAAACTTCTCATCTGAAACGAGAAAAATAAACCGGTAATTCCACCAGAAACGCTTTAAGATTACACATGACATGTGATGTAAAAATGTCCTTCAGCTCACCTTTGGCTTCTGGGAAGATGTTATCAGATGAAGTTAAATCCATTTCCTACTTTGGGAAGGTTTGATTTGCTTTGCTCCCAGGAGGATTATCTAGTAGGAACTACTGGACCTTTTTATTCTCGCAGGTTTCATTTTTTAAATTGGCTTTATTTTCCCCTGGAGGTTCACTAGTTTACCGCCTCAAAACGTGTTTTAGAGGAAACTTTGATCATTTTATATTCGTGTTCTCTGTGGATTTAAAGAGTCGTGTTGATAATAAAGGAGCTGTGATGCTAAGTGTTCAGCACACAGAAACGTAGCAAAAATAAAAACCTTTACAGGTGTTAAGCTAGAGTGCTAGCCGAGAGCCCGATCCTAGTATCACACATGGCGCTTTTCAAGATCGGGCCAAAACATCCACATCTCCATCCTGTCTCCGCTTCAGATGAAAGGTTCTGTCTAGGAACGTTAGACCTGTCATTTAGTTCTCCCAAAGAAACTGACGACTCAGCTTCTTCTGTTCACGGCGGTAACTTTCTGTGGAATCGGACAACAAAGCAGCAAATTTAAAGAGGTTTGTGATTTTGTTCTCAGCTACCTGAACGACCTGGAGAGGATAGGCAAGCCAGACTACACCCCCACACAGCAGGATGTGCTGAGGACTCGTGTCAAGACCACCGGCATCGTGGAAACACACTTCACCTTCAAGGATCTGCACTTCAAGTGAGATGACTTTGTGGTTTTTTATTTTATTTCTCACACCTGTTTTTGAGAAGCTCCTGAAACTCTGATAAAAGACGCAGCTGAAGGTTTTACTTTCCTTCTGAAAGATCGGAGTTGTTTGTTTTTATTGTCCGGGTTTAAAATGACCCGATTCGGAGAGGAAGCTGAGATGTTCTGATTTCTATCAGCCATGTTTGTTATTGATGGTTGGAGGACTCATGTTGGGGTTGTAATGACTCACTGTTGAATACATACATGCCTTTTTTTTTTTTTTTTTTACCACCGCTCATTCTTTCCTGTTCTTGGAAAGTCAGAACGTGTTTTTCCTGAGTTGTTTATTCCAATGTTTGTGTTTTTAACAAAAGCAGCTCGTTTTCTCCACAACACCCCTGGACAACCCCGGTGGTGTACAGTCCGAGAAACCTCAGTAATACAACATCTCTGTTTATGTCACACGGACACAATCTGTGTGGGAGAGCTAATCGGAGGATTTCTGGGATAAATGATGCTTGTTTGTTCATCTAATGGCCGTCTTTACTGGAGGTTCTCAGGAACCCCCTTGTTGTGTCTTCACGCCACCGTCTTTGGTAACGGGGTATGAAGACACAAGCAGCATGCTTACACCTGTGTGTCTCTACAGAAATGAGTGTCGGGTGTGCACGGCTGCAGAATGTCTCAGCTTTCTGCTGGGTGTTGTTCTTCATGTGCTTGTCTACGAAAGTTGAACGGTTTGTGCGTGGTGGCGTCTTCAGAGCTGCACGGCAGGATGTTCAGTGTGAGCCTCGTGGAAGCGCTGATGAAGGTTAGGGTGTGTCAGAGCTACAATGAGCTCTGCTTCCTCGTCTGTGTGAGGGAGTGGGGAAGGCGGGGTGTCGTTAGGCTCTCCACCGTCACCTCTTCATCAGATGAACGCTCAACTTTCATTCGGGAGGATTCAAATCTGAGAGCTGCTGCCATGCTTTTCCCATGTCCAGGTTCACTCCGCCTTCATGAATAAGTTAGATAGTAAAGGAAAACCAGCAGCCATCATGCTTCAACCTGTCTGAAGTTCTCTTGTTACCACAGCAACAGCGCTGTGCAGAAAGGCCTGTGAAAACTAAGAAAACGATGCTGCATGTGCAGCGGACGGTCCTAACAGGAGGACATGGTTGAGAGACGTCCAGAGACCTCGGAGACGTTCAGTTTATGCGTCCGTTAAGCCTGGTTTATGCGTGGGTACGAGACGTGCGACGCCATGATGCAAGCACCCTGGTTCAGGCCCGCTGAGGGTGACGGAAGCATGCCCAACTTTTACCTGTCTGGCAAAATCTACAGAGAGCACACTTCTTACGTGTGTGTGTGTGTGTGTGTGTGTGTGTGTGTGTGTGTGTGTGTGTGTGTGTGTGTGTGTGTGTGTGTGTGTGTGTGTCTGCAGGATGTTTGATGTAGGAGGTCAGCGGTCAGAAAGGAAGAAGTGGATTCACTGCTTCGAGGGCGTCACGGCCATCATCTTCTGCGTAGCCATGAGTGCTTATGACCTGGTTCTGGCAGAGGATGAGGAGATGGTGAGTTCAGCATCACGCTCTTTGAGCTGCAGAACTATTATCTTCTCCCAGAGGAGCCCTTTTCCAGGAAAACGGAGAGGGCGGCTGGTGCTTTTGTCCTCTATCCATCTCCTCATCTGTGTCTGTCACACTCAGAACCGGATGCACGAGAGCATGAAGCTGTTTGACTCCATCTGCAACAACAAGTGGTTCACGGAGACGTCCATCATCCTGTTCCTCAACAAGAAAGACCTGTTTGAGCAGAAGATCGTCCACAGTCCTCTGACCATCTGCTTCCCCGAGTACACTGGTGCGGTCTGAACGGCTCAGTGCACACACAGAACAGAGTCAGCTGATCCAGAGTTTAAACCATAACATTGTCTAAAGTCTGTGTGCAACAGTTAATGTATGACCACAGCCAATTATGTACACACTAAATCTCAGTGGATCTGTTTAAAGGGACATTCTGACCATTTTAAATGAATTTCTATGTATAAATTGTAAAGTTTTAGGTAGATACATGGGTTGGATGTCTTTCTGAACAGCCTCTGTTCTGTGAAATTGAGTTTTTTTGCTTCGGGACTGCTTCAGCTAACATTTGTAGCTTAAAAGAATGGAAATAGACACAGATAAACCTAGCAGCCAATGAGTTTGATACGTTTTCTGTTTTATTTTTCTGTGTTAAGATTTATTAAACTTGAGTTTTTATTTTGTTTTATTTTTAGCATGCAGTTGTAGCCTAGAACAGAACAAACACACACACACACACACACACACACACGGATAAAGTTAAGGTAGCTGCTCAAACTAGTTTATTGGGACAAGAAAGGATGAACAGGTCTGACCCTGTCTATTTTCTGGAACCTGTGTGTCTCTCAGGTCCTAGCAAGTACGAGGAGGCTTCGGCTTACATCCAGAGCAAATTCGAAGACCTGAACAAGAAGAAGGACATAAAGGAGATCTACACTCACTTCACCTGCGCCACCGACACCAAGAATGTGCAGTTTGTGTTTGACGCCGTCACCGACGTCATCATTAAGAACAACCTGAGGGACTGCGGCCTGTTCTAGAGACGGTTCAGAGGAAAGAGGTCACGGTGAGCTAACGGCGCTGAGTCTGAGCTCTGGGCCTGCTCGTGCGTGTTCTGATTGGATGTGTGTTGTTGTCTTGTAGATTACTTGAACAGTTCTGAAGACCCATGACCAGGGGAGTAAAGACGGCAAGAACGACTGCACTGTCCGACCATGATTTCTGCTTTGATCTGCTTTTTATAAACACACCCAAGAGACTGAAAACCCAGGAGCCTCGCAGATTTTCAACCATCGGCGACCTCGCTGCACGAATTATCAACTTTCTGGGTTTTGAACACAAAAAAAAATCAAAAAAAAAAAAAAAAGGTGAAAGGAAAAAAAAATCTGCATTTATTATTATATTTTTGTTCTTTTCTTTATTTTCACTTACTGGAGGAGGGAAGGGATACTTTTATATATAAATGCATAAATTTTGCTTTTAGTTTCTGGCATCAAAAATTATTAAACTTTTAATCACATCTTTTATTTTAACTGGTAAATAACAGGCATGGACAAAAATGATATTAATAAAAGGAAAATGTTTTTATGTTTACATTGGTTCATCATGTATGTTTCTGCGTGACTCCACATGACCAATCGTAGCTCTGTCATCTGTACAAAATATCTAACATTCCTACAAAAAGATCTTAAAAATAAATACATTTAAAAAGAAAAAAAATGTCTTCAGGGGAAAATTCTGACAGATTATAACGTGTATGTGTGTGTGTGTGTGTGTGAGGCTAGCATTCTGTCACTTTTCTGTGTCTTGGCTGTATGTTGTGCCGTCACTTCCGTTTACAGCCCGATCCTAGAGAGCCTCGCGTCACTGTTCTGTCCTTCTGTGTGCCGAAGTTTTCCATCATTTGTTCAGCCTAGAGCCTATGAATCTATTAGTGATGATTAATGAGAAAACAAAGATCTTAATTCAGAAAAAGTTAGTGTTTTTGGTAAATATTAAAGCTCTTTAAACGTCTTATATGATTTAATTTAAATAAAAGTGGAAATCAGCCTTGCATTTGTTTTTTATTCTCTTTGCACATAAATACTAACTGCTTCAGGTTTTTTCCTCAGGTCTCGTCAGCGAATTGTCATCCTTACACAAACCAGTTTGACGTGCTGCACAGAATTGTACTTTAGTGGCTAAAACTGTTGCTTTTCTGTTTTAAAACAGGTTTGGGTTTTTTCTCTTAGCTTGGTAGAAAACAGCTGAATTGTTAAATAAACCAAGTAAATTTTCAAATCACATTTCCAAAACATCAGTTTAGCATGCTGCTGTAATACCAGGCAAAGAAGTTAGATGAGTGCCAGCTCAAAATCAAGATCGGGCCGAATAATTACTCTTCCAGGACAAAAGGCATTAAAATCTCTGCAGTTTGACATAATTAACAATTAAGTTTCCTTATAAGTGGACTCAGAACCGAGTGGTTTTGCTTGTTCTTGAATACTGAAGTTTTTTTTTAAAGACAACAAAAAGTATTAGCAGACTGAGATCGCCATCTAGTGGACATCACATGGTAATGTATTGTAACAGTTAAAGTCATTAGTAATAATAATAGTAAAATGTAACAGCTGACCATTTTTGAGTGAACTGATCCTGATCGTTAACTGAATTGATGATTTGACATTTCTACATTGCGAACACTGACAGGTTTAAGCATAAACATCCTGAAAACGGTTCATACAGTATAATGAACACTAAACAGTGGAGGTGAGCAGAGTCTGGAGAGGGCATGGGCAGCTTGGGTGTAAACTCAACAGTGTTGGGCAAGTTACTTCAAAACTGTAATGCATTATTACTTGTTACCCTCATTTTAAAGTAATTCATTACATTACAATATTACTGATTTTAAAATGTAAGGCATTACACTACCTTTGCATTACTCTAAGTTACTTTCAACAAAACAACTTCAGTATGAGTTTGGTAATCTGATGCCTGGTGAACTTATGACACATCCGGTGGAAGGTGATGTGGTGTCTGAGCTAGGATTGCTGTTAAAAACAGTTCTTTAGAAGGATTGTTTATTAAATAAAAACAACAACAATCTGTACTCTCAGCACGCTGCCATCTTAGATTAGCGAGTGAGGTGGTGGGGGCTCCAAGCCTATATTTGCCTTGGTCCCCAAATGCCTTGATACGGCCCTGGATGTGGGACTGACTTCTGGGGTGATCTGATTCTATCACATGTATAAATATTGAATGCTTATATATTATTGCTTTTCACTGGTAAAAAATATGTTTTGGGGATAAATCTACCTACTTTTTTTCTTTTCAAGCACTTTGTTTTCTTGATTTTATTTGAATAATTTCCGGCCCTTTCTCTCTCTAACCTTCCTGCATGCTGCATGTTTTCTCCGTCTTCCAGAAAAAACTGTTTCCTAGACTTCCTACTTTCTAACTAATCAGCCAAAGGGATCTTCACATGTGCGGCGCTCCAGCAGCAATGAGTTGAAATCACCGGAGCCCAGATTAACTCAGCTGAGGCAAAGCACGTCGGAAAAGTACAGAATACCAGAGAACATGAGCTGATATGAACGATTGCAGGTGAATTATTTTGTTTTAGTGGAGCGATTTTGTGAATGTTACAGCGGTTGCGTGCAGGATGCAGCTGGAGTATTTGAGCCGTTACCGCTGCGTCCTCTCTGCCTGCAAATCTGAGTCCATAAATGACGTAACATATGCAGATACTGGAACTTTTTTCGGGTTTCCCGCAATTTGAATTTTTAAGAAACGCAGCTTGATTCTGGGTTTAAAAATGCGTTGTAATTACCGCGCTACTGACAATTGTACCGAGTAAATATTACCATTTTCTTTCCCTGTAATGCCTTACATTACCACATTACAGCAAAAAGCAATACATTACAGTAATTAATTACTTTTGTACCGCGTTACTCCCAACACTGAAACTCAAGGACGTGACTCTGAATGAACAAACATTTGCAAATCCTGACTGCAGCCTTTCTGCATGGAGTTAGCATGTTCTCGTGTCAGATTGACTGGAGAATAGTTTCTAGGTGTGTGTTGCAGATCCTTCCCTGATAACTGCTGGAGTTGGACACCTGCTCCCCGGGACATCAGTGATGCTGAAGCGGTTAGGATAAGGAGTGAGTGGCGTCTTTATAGACTAGTTTGATTTCAGCCACTTTGAAGGATTTTCTTGCGAGGGAAACTAATGTGCTGGGTCACGACTGTGATGTGGTTGGTAGTTACGTCCCATGGGCGGGACGTCTGAATGGTGAAGAGTAACTGTGTATTTTCCCTGGCAGTAGGGGGCAGTACATAACTAAATCACTGCAAGCATGCAGTATTTTTGTGTTGGAGTAAAACCTTACCAACAGATGGCCATTAGGGTCAAAAATCCCTGGGTGCACTGTGGTCTTTTAGAAATGGGTCAAATTGCTCCAGGTAAGTCGAGAGCTCCAGGAAATTCCCCCGGTTGCTTGAGGAATCTGTTTCATCATGGCCTCGGAAAGACATTCCCTGTTTAGCTAAAAAATATATTGTAGCCACAACACGACGAAGGTGCTCTCTCCGTTCGGTGATCTGGTCAATGCTGGCCACATTTATTCGATCAACCACACTGCCTTTTGTCAAAGTTACCTTATAGCCATTCCAGGCAAGCATTGAAGCTTTGTGTCCACATGTGTCATGCTCTCTGAAGCTGTCCAATGCTCTTTTCCAGTTGGAAAAACCAACCATGCTAGTGATGTGGTCTTTTTTTGGCCACCATGCCTGCTTTCCAAAGACTCTGCAGCTATAGCAGAATGCTGAATTTTGACTGATCGAATACTCCAGCCACTCAAAAGAGTCAAACCATTTTCTTTGGAATGACCTTCTCTGAAGTCCAAAGTTTGTGAAAGGGTACTCTCTAACCCCAAAATTCCACTATCTCCGCTCCTGCTTTCCGCTGCCGCTCGCTTCCGAACTCAAATTATACTGTACCCGCTCTACAACGGCTCCGCCCCGGTGCGGAGACCTGAGGTGCGCAAACAGGCATGCGCGGGATTTTCGAGATCTCGCGATACAGTCCGAGCAATAAACGCAGAAGTTAGATCCAAACAGAGGTGCTCCGGCATCCGGCAAAAATAGAATCGATCCTATTTCTGCCGGATGGTGGAACGACGGGCGGCGCACTGCGCCGCACGGCCGCAGTAGTGGAACAGCTCTGATTGACTACAACGGGACCGTTTTTGCTGCGGAGTTCGTGCCGGAGCGGAGCGGAGATGGTGGAATTTTGGGGTGAATCGGTCACTCTAGCATTTTCTATCTCCACCTCTTTCCAGCTTCCTGAGTCATCTGTAATAAAAATAAGACAGGAACAAGTTAGAAAATGATACACACCTGACTCAAAACAATTTAATTCAAAAGTTGTTTTTTTTAATAGCTTGTGAAACGGCACTAACTAAATAAACTAAACTAAATAAACTGAAATGAAAAATCATTGTTGCCAGTTCATTTGCCTAATGAGGATGATGGTTCTTCTGGTGATGCAGCTACATCAACTGCTCCTGTGGCCTCTTCAGTCTGTAGGTCATCTCTCACAACCACTAAAAGATCATGACATCAAAATTGATTGTGCAAAGCTGAGAACTAAAAATACAAAAACAAATATCCTTATTGTTGTGTTCTAACACTAGGTGGCAGCAGAGCATTACATGTATAAATGGAGGCGTAGAGAAAGAGCTGAGGAGTTCCGCAACAAATGTACAAGATGGATGCTGAATGTTTATTTCTCTTTCTTTGTTAAATTTCCAGATTGATTAAAAAATCATTGCCTGCTACTTTCAACTAACTACAAAACTTAACATTTAAGTAAATAATTAGACTACATGCATTCAAAATGCATCAAGTGTATCACAAATGTAGCGACATGAATGGCCTCATTTGTGACCCAAAGGTCACACTTCCTCAGCTGGGTCAAGCTGTCTTGGCTGTACTTCTATTTACAGATTATCCATCGCAGGAGACACGAAGTCTGCTGTAAACCATCTTTAATCTGACTGCCTTTATCTGACTGCTGTTCCATCCGCAAGACGAAGGACACTTCAAGATTTAAAAGAATAATTTTTAATAAACTCTTCACTGTCTATTACAGTGTTCATAAATAATCATCAAGGTTCATTATAAATGTTTTAATCACTGAAATGAATTATTATTCTTTGATTAATAATAATTATTATTTATGATAATCAGTAATGTTTAACAGTGTAAAAAAGGTCATGTGCACAACATGTTGATCGCGGTGATCTTTGAGAGCTGAATCATACAAATTTACGAACCTCTGCCATAAGTAGTTCTTGCCAGTCCACCATGTTTTTCCGCGTTCGACCGTCGCGTGGTTAGAAAATTTCCTAGGTGTGCGGTGCGGAAAGTTTGGGCCGTGCGGAGGTGCGCTGGAGGGGTGTGGTTGTTAAAATGACGTAACTTTTCCGCGCGGAGCCGTGCAGACCTCGCGGATGCGTCAAGCATAAACCAAGCTTTACACCAAAGCTTTCTATCTCTGAGAGGGCGTGTTCTGAGATATGTTAAAACCAAAACTCCCCAGTTCAAGTTCAGTTCTTGAGCTCACCAAAATTCTCTCCGTGGCACGAGAGAATCCAGAGTATCGGGTCGGCCGCTCGAAACCTCTACTAAGCTTTTCTGTTACGCTGATAGAATTGCTTCAACAACCAACGCCATCTGCAAGAAGCTGACGCTACGAGATTCCTTAAGAATCTGCTCGGAATGTAATACATCCACCTGTGTACCTGCAGCAACTCTAGGACCAGAGACTCTGTAGCACTGGTCTTCCCTTCCAGACCAAGTACCCAGAGGCTGATCAACATCCTCCCTTGACCTCCGGATCCAAACAGAGGGTCGTCTGAATGGTGAGGTAGAGCACAAGATTGCGTCTGTATGCCTGTTTCTTATTAAGAAATAATTTAGCTTAGCTGCAAACCAAACTCTTTCACCCAGAACGCGTTTTTCTCTCTCTAAGATAAAAACCTTCTGAGACCTACATTCACACATCCAACA